ATAGCGAATAGCGATGGCCTCCAAACCAATTGCGATGGCCTCAAACCCAATATTCGCGCACTCCAGAGGCATAATAATCAGCTATAGTTCCCACTCAGCTCGGGACATCGTCGGCTATTTCGCCTTCAACATCACTAGCTGTCCAGTCCGAATCCCGACTTTACCCTCCTCTTCTTTGCTCTCTGATTGTCCTAGTGTGTGTTTTACGAAATATTACAGTGCCTGTTACATACAAACCCATCTACCTTGACCCTGAGCCTGGAAGCTGGCAGGCGACAGCATGCAATACAAATGCCTCCGAAAGGAATACCAACTCTTACTCTGACACACAAAGGAAACCGTTAATGTACCATGTTGTACCTGTACCCTACACATCCCTACACTACATTCTAGCCTGAACCCTAAGCTGTCTGTCATTTTTAGGTCTTTTCCACCCGCGCACGATGCTTGGCACTCTGGGAAGTGAACCGGCACCGAGCCTCTGTCCTTCATGATCGTTTCTTGGCTAGACGGAACGCAAACAAATATACAAAAATCCGCTGCATAATGCATATATGTTGATCACATAATATTGAACATCTCTGCTTGCCCGGCCTGAATCAATCAGACTGGCCCGGTGCCCGACTTCTCTAAGTGGCAAGGTGCACGTTTCGCTCAGACGTGCTGGGTGGCAGTCGCATCACTCCTGGTCAGCGCAGTGCTTTGTGTGACAGGCGAAACTCAAGTTTCAGGGAGTTTGATGGAAATAATAGGTGGTACCCAGTGGTACTGTAAATATCAGCGGTTCCTGCTGGTTCTTGCCAGGTTAGCTGCACCAACCTAGGCAAACGAAAAGGCTGCGTATACAAAGCAGCACAGGAGAGGGAGGGGAGGAATGCAAGCTGGGCGCGCACAGTGCTGCAAGGAACTCTGTTTAATCATGTTGTTGTCCTTTCTCCAAGATGCCAACAATATCCCAACGCCTCTTTCTATGTGCAATTGTTTACTAATTATATTGTTGATGTTAAATAAGACAAGGTCTTCAACGTGATTACCCCTAGCCACCCGCCAAGTAGACA